TTTGCTTCTCATATTACTTACCATGAGTTCGAAGGCGTTTCAGCATCGACTTTCGTTCATGAAAATTTTGTATTAGTTTAATGAGTTATTTATTAACGAGCGATATAAAGTATTAAGAGTGATATTAATATGACAGAAGTAAGGATAAGAATAGCGCACACCAGAAACAGCATAGAACAATTATACATAGGACTGAACTGTTGCAGACATCGTCCAATAAGTAGAGCCTTCATAATCACTCGCACTAAAGACCTGCTAAAGAGGAACAGTGAAATACCGTAGGAAATTTTACGCTGAGATTTAGATTTAATTTAAACTGCGTTTAATCAAAATTTTACTTTGGGTGGTTGTGCATATATTTTTGTTGTATGTGTCGTCTTTATGCCTGTATTTAGCGTTGCTGCATGACCTGACTAGCGATTACAGTCTTTCGTTCTTCACCGCAGGAACTACCCTCATATTGGCTGCACTCATTGGTTTTTCTCTAAATCCACTGAATCAATGGGAGAAGGCGAAACAGAAGAAACATGCCAAAAATTATCAAACCCAAGATGTGTATTCGATCAAACTTTAGCTAGTACATTTGCCGACGTGTTTCAGCCGGGTCGATCGCTGATAGACGTTGCGAGTTTGACGTACATGTTGTAAATAAGGAAGCGAACGGAAACAATTTTGACATTTCAGGTATCTGTGTATTATGGAAGTACTCATTTCAACTACGGATATCAGATCTACACGGTGAAAATGTCCCACCCTTTATTTCTAGTATCTTAAGGGGACTATTTAGCACCCTAGGCAGCGGCTCTATCGTATTTAAATGCCTGTAATGCATTTTTGAGCTCGGCTGAACAAGGGGTGTTCAAGCCTCAACAATATCTGCTATTATCTCTAGGAAAATCACGCTGATCACCTGAACCGATCGGTAATCAGCGATGACTCGCGCCTGTCGCAACCCGGACGTGGTTTCGAACATTCTCCTTCATAACGCAACCTTCCACACTCTTCATATAATCAGCACTATGGT